AGCCATGTTTTATAGCTCAAAATTGGACATGACTTAAGTAGTCGTTTTTGTGTGGTAATATATTTGTTGATAATGTGTTAAAGGGCATTTTCATCAACAAGGAGTTGAGATGGCCAAAAGTGTTTGTTAGAAAAAATACTCCTAAGGAGTGTCTCTACAAATCATGCTTGAGCAGAAAAGCTCTGCACTCATGTTTTATAGCTCAAAATTGGCCATGACTGAAGTAGTCGTTTATGTAGGGTAACAAATTTGTCGGCAATGCGTTAAAGGCCATTTTCAGCAACAAGGAGTTGAGATAACAAAAAGTGCTCCTTGGCAAAATTATTCCTGAGAAGATTCTCTACAAATCATGCTCCAACAGAAAAACTCTATAATAATGTTTTATAGGTCAAAACAGGGCATGACTTAAGTAGTCGTTTTTGTATGGTAACAACTTTGTTGGCAATGCGTAAAATGGAATTTTGAACAACAAGGAGTGAAGTTGACAAAAAGTGTTGGTAAGGAAAAATGCTTCTAAGGAGTATCTCTACAAATCATGCTCTAACAGAAAACTCTACACTAATGTTTTATAGCTCAAAATTGAACATATCTTAAGTATTCGTTTTTGTATGGTTACAACTTTTTTGGCAATGCGTAAAATTCTATTTTCACCAACAAGGAGTTGAGTTAAGAAAAAGTGTTATATGGCAAAATTATTCCTGAGAAGATTCTCTACAAATCATGCTTTAACATGACAACTCTACACTCAGATTTTAAAGCTCAAAATAGAACTTGAATTAGGTATTCATTTTTGAATGGTAACTAATTTATAGGTAATATGTCAAGGGATATTTTCACCAACAAGGAGTTGAGTTAACAAAAACTGTTGGTTAGGAAAAATACTCCTAAGGAGTGTCTCTACAAATCATGCTCTAACAGAAAACATGTACAATCATGCTTTATAGCTCAAAATGGGATATGAATCAGTTAATAAGTTTCAGGAAGAAGCGTTAAAGTGACAAAATTGCAAAAACAATGTTTTCGCCAACAAGGAGTCGAGCTATTAAAAAGCGTTGTGTGAGAAAAAAAACTCCTGAGAAGTTTCTCTTCAAATCATGTTCAATCATGAATAGTGTAAAATCACATTTTATGTCTTGAAATGACGTTTGAAATAGGAAAAAAATTGTTCATATGGCAACTTAGACAATGGTAATACATTAAAGCAAATTTTTAGCAACAAGGACTTGTTAGCATTAATCCGCTAATGCGTATACTTTATAATAAATACCAAAATAATAAATAAGTCTACGCCACCCGATCCTTTAATTAATATTACTTATACGCTACGAGGAACATGCATCTTTGAAATTTTTCACTAATTTTCGTTATACAAAATCACTAAAATAGTCATTAATGTCATCAACAATAGACCTGAATATTTTTAAAATCTGCATCTCCTTAACCACCTAATCCCATTAATTCCAAATATTTAAATATATGTGATTATATCTCTTATCCTTATTTTTTTAAATATTTATTTAAAAGTAGTCTTAAAATTCCTTAGCTTTATAAATTGATTCTTTATAACAATTGTATTTTTTATATTTATAATGGGAATTAAAATAGAAGGGACCCGTTGATATGGACAAATATAATTTATTTTATTCAAAATCACATTTTAATCAGGAATTTAAGATATCCTCTTTTAAATTACCATTATAATTATAACACTCTTCTTCTCTTTGTTACCAATTCAATGCCTCTTCTCTCTTTGATTCAACTGTAATAAATCAAATTTTTCTATGGCACCATTATTAACAGGAATTGTTTTGCCAAGTCTATTTTAATCAAAAATAAAGACTTCTCTTTTGGTTCACTACTCCTTTGCCAGTTATTTTTGCCTATTAATCCCTTCAACTCTCTTTTATTATTAATATAATGGCATCTCTTTTTCACATACCCCCATACCCATTAAGAAATTGTTGTTATTGTTTTTGTATTGCATCCCAATGAAAATGCAAGTGTTTTTTTGCAAATGCAAAGCTAGCTGTTGTGGTTTTGTTATTGTTTGCCCTACCAAACCATTCCCGCTCTCTATGTCTTACTATCACACACTCTCTCTCTCTCTATTGTTTACATTCTGTGCTGTGTTGGTGCATGCATGCAATATATTTCTACTATGAAGCATTCGGCTATGTTATCACGATGAGTGGGGTGGGGTGGGGTTATTGTGGGGTGGTAAACAACAAGGCGAGGATGTGTTGTCGTTCTCACACTCCTTCTCGTGTGCTCCCGCTCTTCTGTTATTGTAGTGCATTGGTATACGATTGTGTGCAATGGTTGGCATGCATGCCTGCCTGCCTGCAGTGTTACTGTTGCCCAACCATTCACTCTCTCTCTCTCTATGCCTTACTATGACTCTCCCTGTTGTTTACATTCTGTCCTGTGTTGGTGCATGCATGCAAGTATTTCTACTATGAAGCATTCGGCTATGTTATCACGAAGAATTGTTGTTGTTGTGGGGTGGTAAACAAGGCGAGTATGTGATGTTGTTCTCACACTCCTTCTCGTGTGCTCTCGCTCTTATGTTGTTATAATAGCGCATTGGTAGATGATTGTGTGCAATGCCTGCCTGCATTGCACTCTCTCTGTGTAATAATACTACCTCTCTTGACTTCGGCCATTAGTGCAGTTGCTTTGGTTTTGTTTGCTGTTTTTGGTTTTTCATTATTGTTGTTATATATGTGTGTGTTTCTCTCGGTGTGTGTGTGTGCATGTTCTTCATGTGCAACTACACTACTATTGCAAATAGTTTTGTAAACAATACGCTTGACCTAAATTTTCATATAGCCATGGCGTTGTTGTTGCTACTGCTATTTTGTTGTTAGCATTCATGAGTATGAATGATTGTGTGTACGTATATACGAGGCTATATATAATGTGTGTGTTTGTCCATATATATAGTATAGTGTCTGTTTTGTTTTTTGTCATTATTTTTTTATAGTCGTTTTTATTATTGTTTTTGTAGTTGTTTTTTTTATAATATGACTATTTTATTGTTTTTTTTTTTTTTTCTCCTGTCACCACCTCTTCGTCCCGATCCTTCCTCCTCTCATTTCAATGCAATATTTTTGTTTTCAATAACAAATAGTGTTTAGTTTTTTTTTTGCTTTTTGAGTATGCTATTTGCAGTATATGAGTGCATGTGTGTGTTTTTTGGTGTGTGCTCATTTGTATTTGTGCAACAACTGTGTAATGTGCATACTATATAACCTTACATACACACCAAAAACACCGTGAATATGAATTTATTTGGTATTATTCGTGTATTTGGATGCATTTTCTGGACTATAAAAAATAAATAAAGAAAATAAAACCAAAAAATAAAAATGGATTACATCTGAAAATAGAAAAAAAATTTGACTGAGTTATTCCAGATATACCTTCAATTAATTTCCTTTATTTTTTCTTTTTAATTTTTTTTTTAATATTTTTTGACATTCACAAAAGCGTAGATTTATTTATTTATTTTATTATTATTATTTTTTTTTGAGGCCCATAAGAGATTAGTCTTTTTAATTTTTTTTTAGATCCACAGGAATGTAGATTAAAAAATTCCGAGATCCAGTCCAGTGCTGCGTATACGTAACAAAAAATAATAATTATTATACGCCACCACATCCTATAATTAATATCACTTATACGTTACACCTTATGTGTACCGATTTTTCCACCAGGACCTTATTTTGGCTTCTTGATGTCAATGCAAGAAATATTCTTCATAAAATTTTCCGAATACCGTACATGTCAAACTCATACCCACAACAAAAAATAAATACTTAAAAAAAAGAAAAAAAAAGATTTTTTAAGTTTAATTTCGTTTTGTCCCGATTTATCAGCTTCCAACTACTATTAGCATCATGATGCTAAGTAAAGAAATGCTCCTCACAAAATTTCACTATACGTCTTCGAATACGATAAATCTCTATCTCTATTATATATCCATAAAATATGACCTCCATGCTGGAATAAATTAAAAATAAAACATTTTTGAGGTTAATTTCGATTTGTGCCGATTTCTCAATCAGTACTTCATTCTAGCGAGTTGTTGGTAAGGAAGGAAATATTGTTCACAAAATTTCACTATGGGTCTACGAATACCATAAATCTCTATCCCCATTATATATACATTAAATATGGCACCCAAATTAGTATCTCTTAAAAATAGGAAAACAATTAAATTTTTTTAAGGTTAATTTCGTGTTGTCGCAATTTTTCAACTAGGGTCTCATTTTGCCAGCTTAATGTCAATGGAAGAAATATTCTTCATAAAATTTCACTAAAGGTCTCCGAATACCATAAATCTCTATCTCGACATTATACCCACAAAATAAGGCATCCATTATGGCAATCATTAGAAAAAAAAATTAGAGATATATATTTTTTAAGGTTAATTGTGATTTGTCGCGATTTTTCCACCAGGACCCCATTAAAGCGAGTTGTTTATAAGGGAAGAAATATTCTTCACAAAATTTCACTATAGGTCACCAAATACCACAAATCTCTATCTCTATTACATAACCATAAAAAAATTAAATATTTTGAAAAAATAAAAAAAAAAATTGATTTTTTAAGGTTAATTTCGATACTTTCTGATTTCTCAGCTTCGGACTCACTATATGGTCATGATGCTAAGGAAAAATATCTTCAGCACAAAATTTCACTATAGGTCTCCGACTACCATAAATCTATATCTGTAATATATATCCCTTAAATATAACACCCAAAATGGAATAACTTGAAAACAAGAAAAAATTAAATTTTTTAAGGTTAGCAGTGGTTCGAGTCATTACTTATTTAGTGTTGCCGTTTTCCGCTGGGTGACGCTACCTTCTGTCGTTCTTATCTTGTTTATTCCCATCTTTTTGCAGAAAATATTTTTTAACTTATTTAAATTTATTTTAATTTATTTTTATACCTTAACTAATTTCTATTTTTCTTTTTTTGTATTTTCTTTCCAGCTGTGAGAGCCGATCGCATGCGCGGTGGCCGCAATAAATTTGGACCCATGTACAAGCGTGATCGGGCGCGAAAACTGCAAGTGATGCGACAACGACAAATTGCATTGCAGGCCCTCAGAACGTCCATGGGTACGGGTGATATGAAACCAACACCGTTATCGCCCGGCTATCAAACCTATTCGAATATGAATATTAAACAAGAAATACAAATACCTCAGGTAAGAGAGAAATGATCATCCTCCTAATTTTATTTTTTAGAAAAAAAAGGAAGAAGAAGTAAATTTATAATGACAGGGATCAAGGGGCCTGGGCGAAATTAATAGATCCAGGGGAAGGATATTATAAGTAACATTAAAAAAATAATATATATTTTTTTGGGGATCCATTAAAGGTGTGTTTTTTATTTCAATTGTTTGGACATGTTATTTATTTGGAAGAGTAACTTGTCTAGTTTTCAAAAATGTTTAAAATTTCGAAATTGCCATAAAACTATTGAAGTTATTGCCGATTTCTTAAAAATACTCATAATTAATAATAGTCATACGCACCCAGGTTCGAAGAATAAAAATCTTAATTTTTCAGGGTTTATCACAAGCATGTATTTTTAAATAATTATTTTCAGGGTCTACTAAGTGTTATATAAATATAATAAATATTTTTCAGGGCATTTTTACAAGCTTTTTTTAAAAAATATATTTTTTTCAGGATCTACTATGGGCTTGGGTGTTAAAAAAAACCTTAATTTTACCACAACGATGTCAATGGAGGAAATATTCTTCTTAAAATTTCACTCTAGATCTCAAAATACCGTAAATCTCTAAATTTATTATATATCCCTCAAATATGGCATCACGACCTATGTCAATCAATTAAAAACGGGGAAAAAATATATATTTTTAGGGTTAATTTCGAAATGTGCCAATTTTTCAACAAGGACCTATTTTTAACTCATTGATCCCAATGAAAGAAGTATTCTTCAGAAAATTTCACTATAGGTCTCCGAATACCATAAATCTCTATCTCTATTATAAATCCATAAAATATAATATCCATTATGATATATTTTTACGAAACATGAAGAAATGGAATTTTGTAAGGTTAGTTAAGATTTGTCCCACCAATATTTTATTCTAGTGAGCTATAGCTAAGGAAAGAAATATTCTTCACAAAATTTCACTATGGGTCTCCGAAACCCGCAAATCTTTATCTATATTATATATCCATAAAATTAGATATCCAATATGACAATCACTCAAAAACGGTAAAAAAGTTATATTTTTAAGGTTAATTTCGAATTGAACCAATATTTTAAGCTGGGCTTAATTTTACCAGCTTGATGTCAATGGAGAAAATATTCTTCACAAAATTTCACTATAAGTCTCCGAATACCATAAATCTCTACTTGAATTATTTATCCATAGAATAAGGCATCCAATATGGCAATCACCTAAAAACTGGAAAATGTTATATATTTTTAAGGTTAGTTTCAATTTGTACCGATTTTTGCAACATGGCCTCATATTGGGTGCTTGATGTCAGTGGAAGAAATATTCTTTACAAAATTTCACTAAAGATCTTAGAATACCATAAATCTCTATCTCGACATTATACCCACAAAATAAGGCATCCATTATGGCATTCACTTAAAAACTGAAGAGATATATATTTTTTAAGGTTAATTTCGAAATGTGCCAATTTTTTAACCAGCACCTCATTTTAACTCATTGATTCTAATGAAAGAAATATTCTTCACAAAATTTCACTATAGGTGTCCAAATACCGTAAATCTCTCCCTGTATTACATATCCATAAAATTTTGTGAATCATTATGGGATCACTTAAAACCGGGGAAAAATAACTTTTTTAAGGTTAATTTCGGTTTGTTCCGATTTCTCAGCTTGCGCCTTATTCTAGCGTATTGATGTTAATGGAAGACATATTCTACATAAAATTTTACTAATAGTTCCCATATACAATAAATCTGTACCCCGATTATATATCCACAAAATATGAGGTCCAAAGTTCCATAATATGAAACATATGTTGGTTTATAAAGGGTGAGGTTAAAAAAATCATTTTAACCTCAAGATCTATCAAAGTCGTGGAATTTAAAAATATATATATTTTTCCGACCCTCTTATGCCTGATTTTATTTCCAAAAATATATTTTTTGGATACATTTAAAGCCAAGACTTTAAATACAAAAAATATCTTTATCCAAAATGGTTATCCATTTTCTAATCGCTATATGTCAAGGAGTGATTGGGTTGGAGGCATAAAAAGTTCTTGATTTGGAAGATCAATGTGTCTAGTTCTCAAAAATAGCCAACAATTTCGAAATTGTCCAAGAACTATTCAAGTTATGGCCGATTTCTTATAAATACCCATAATTAATAATAGTCATACGCTCCATTGTCCGTGGAAATAAAACTTCAATTATTTAATGTTTAACACTAGCGGGGATTTAAAACAAAAATATTTTCGGGATCCACAAAATACCTGGATTATTTTGATATATCGTTTATTTCGAATTTCCTTTGTATATATTTCGAAAATCTCAAAAACAACTAATTTTTGACCTTGACATTGACCCATTTCCCCAGTTTTGACGTTGACGTTTAAAAAAATAAAATATCTCACATCGTAACACCATTAACAAGGTCGTCGCATGAATAACAACATCTTTGTCATTGCACTTCTCTAAATATCAGAGACAGAAAAAAGTAGGACAATCATTTAATTTTTTTTCGTTTTAATTAATTTGATTGTTAATAGAGGCAAGAGTGTGTAAGGCACACACACACTAATGTACACACATTTACACATGCACTTAATATTGGCAATGATATTTGTGAAGTGAAGATGCAAATGCAAGTAAAAGGAATTTGTTAGGTTAATTTTGATTTGTCCCGATTTTTCAAACAGGGTCTTATTTTTCCAGCTTGATGTCACTGGAAGAAATGTTCTTCATAAAATTTCACTATAGGTCTCCAAATACCATAAATCTCTATATCTGCTGTATATACCTAAAATATGGCATCCAATATAGGATCGTTTAAAAGCAGGAAAAAATTATAATTTTTTAAGGTTAATTTCGATTTGTGCCGATTTTTCAACCAGGACCTTATTTTTCCAGCTTGATGTCAATGGAGGAAATATTCTTCACTAAATTTCACTATAGGTCTCCGAATACAATAAATCTCTATAGCTATTATATATCCATAAAATATGAGATCCATTCGGGGATAATTTATAAACAAGACATTTTTGAGGTTAGTTACGATTTCTGCCGATTTCTCAACCAATACCTCATTCTAGCGAGTTATTGGTAAGGAAAAAAATATTCTCCACAAAATTTCACTATGGGTTTCCGAATACGAAAAATCTCTATCTCTATTATATATCCATTAAATATGACATCGAATATGGGAATCACTTAAAAATTGGAAAATGTTATATTTTTTTAGGGTTAATTTCGTTTTGTCCAGATTTTTCCAACAGTATCTCATTTTCGGTGCTTGATATCAATGAAAGAAATATTCTTCATAAAATTTCACTATAGGTCTCCGAATACCATAAATCTCTATCTTTAATATTTATCTATAAAATAGTTATATTTTTTAAGGTTATATTTTTAAGGTTAATTTCAATTTGGGCAAATTTTTCAATCAGGATCTCATTTTAACTCATTGATCCTAATGAAAAAAAAAATATTTTTCACAAAATTTCACTATTGGTGTCCGAATACGATATATCTCGACCTCTATTATATATTGCTATAATATTGCATCCCTTATGACAATCACTCAAAAACTGCAAAAAAGGTTATATTTTTTAAGGTTAATTTTATTTTTTGCCAATTTTTCAACCAGGGCCACATTTTAACTCATTGATCCTAATGAAAGAAATATTCTGTACAAAATTTCACTATAGGTCTCCGAATACCGTAAATCTCTATCGGCATTATATATCCATAAAATTAGAGATCCAATATGACAATCACTTAAAACCAGTAAAAAAGTTATATTTTTAAGATTAATTTCGATTCGTGCCGATTTCTCCACTTCCAACTTATTTTAACGTCATGATGCTGAGGGATGAAATATTCTTTACAAAATTTCACTATAGGTCTCCGAATACCGTAAAACTCTATCGGCATTATATATCCATCAAATTAGAGATCTAATATGACAATCACTCAAAAACGGTAAAAAAGTTATATTTTTAAGGTTAATTTCGATTTGTTCCGATGTCTCAACTTCCGCCATATTCTAGCGTCATGATGCTAAGACAAGAAATATTCTTCACAAAATTTCACTATAGCTTTCCGAATACCATAAATCTCTATCAATATTATATAACCCACAAATATTAAACCCAATGTAGGTTCATTTAAAATCAGGAAAAAAAGTAAATTTTTAAGGTTAATTTCGAATTGTCCTGATTTCTCGGCTTCAGCCTAATTTTAGAGGCATGAAGCTAATGAAAGAAATATTCTCCACAAAATTTCAATAAAGATTTCCGAATACAAAAAAATCTGTATCTATATTATATCACCAAAATATAATAAAATTAAAAATGAGGAAATATGTTGATTTTTTAAGGATAATTTCCAATTGGCCCAATTTCTCAGGTTCCCCCTCATTCTAGCGGCTTGATGCTAACGAAAGAAATAATCTGCATAAAATTTCACTATAGGTCTCCGTATACAACAAATCTGTAACTATGTTACATATCAACAAAATGTGGGGTCCAAAGTACAACAATATAAAAACAGAATAAATATGTCGATTTTTAAGGTTAATTTCGATTTGCCCCGATTTCTCAACTTCAACCTCATTTAAGCGGCTTGATACTAATGGCAAGAAATATTCTTCACAAATTTCACTATTAGTCCCCAAATACAATAAATCGGTAACTATATTATATATCCGCAAAATATTGGGTCCAAAGTTCAATATTAAAATAAACAGAAAAAATATATATAGATTTTTAGGTTAATTTCGATATATTCCGATTCCAAAGCTTCCGCCTCATTTTAGCTTCATGGTGCTAATGGAAAAACTAATCTGCAAAAATTTCATTATAAGTACCCAAATACAATAAATCTGTAACTATATATAATATCCACAAAATATTGGGTCTAAAGTATAATAAAATAAAAAATGAGGAAATATGTTGATTTTTTGAGGTTAATTTTGAATTGTGTCGATTTCTCAGCTTCCGTCTCATTCTAGCGACTTGATGCTAATGAAAGAAATAATCTGCATAAAATTTCACTATAAGTTCCGAAATACAAGAAATCTCTAGCTGTATTATACAACCAAGAAATATGCGATCTAAGGTAGGATTATTTAAAAGAGGAAAAATATACAAGGTTAATTTAAAATTACCCCTAAAAGCAGACTTCAAATTTAGTAACATTTTTTGTAGGAACTAAAAAACCCTGTTTTTTATAAAATAATTTTCTATATAGTCTAGAATATATTTTTATAAGAACTACTAACATTTTCTAAATTTCAAAAATCTTTTTTTTAACTTTCTTTGACCCTAAATATATTCTTCCATTTTATTTAAATGTTCTCCCCTAAAATATGCCACAAAAATTAATTTTTCCTTTTCTTTTTCCAGGTATCCTCTCTAACACAATCGCCCGACTCATCACCCAGCCCCATTGCAATTGCCTTAGGACAGGTTAATGCCAGCACCGGTGTGATAGCTACGCCACTGAATGGCAGTGGCGGCGGTTCTGGCAGCGGAGGTGGTGGTGGCGGTAACAGTAATAATGGCAGCAATAACAACAACAGTACGAGTGATGGCATCAACCGCGTTGGTAGTGGCAGTGGTGGTGGCAGTAATTGCCACGATACCGGTACCGGGTCTCTACAGAATGCCAGCGATTCAAAATTGTGGTACAGTTTGGAAACAAAAAAAAACATTCATCTATTATTTTATTTGATCCTCTTGACGTATTTTATATTTTGCGAAATTATGTCAAAAGAGGATTTATTTTTGTTGGGTTAAGAGGAAGAAGGAGTATGGGTAAAGGGAAGAAGAAATTGTTATAATAAACAAAAATTTCAAATTGTAATTATTTTTGTTTGAAATGGTTAACAATTTTTAAAATTACGTAAAAAATATTTTGAAAATTGAAGACCCCAAAACGTATACCGAATATTTCAAACAAAAATAATTGCACTTCGAAAACAAATTTCTTTGCAACAAAATTAACTCCCACCCTCCCTTTTCAAATTGGCCTTTATCGATCCAATTTTTTTTTTTTTTGTTTTATTTTTTTAATTCTCACCTTTAATAATCAAAAATGTTTCCCCTATCTTTTCAGCTTCGACTCGGGCACACATCCTTCAAGTACCGCCGATTCCATAATAGAACCATTAAGGCAAGCGAAAAATAAAATATGACTTTCCTTTCAGAATTTTGTCTCTATACATTATTTTTTTTCTCATTTTCAGGGTATCACCGATGATCAGGGAATTTGTACAGTCAATAGATGACAGGGAATGGCAGACGCAACTATTTGCCCTGCTGCAGAAACAAACGTACAATCAAGTTGAAGTGGATCTCTTTGAATTAATGTGTAAAGTTTTGGATCAGAATCTATTCTCACAGGTCGATTGGGCCCGCAATACTGTGTTCTTTAAGGATTTGAAGGTAAGAAACAAATTTGAATGGATTTTTATATGTAGGAAAAATCAGGACAGGAATGCTGGAAAATTGTTCTATGGAAATTTGCTTAGCTGGTTAATTTCGATTTCTTTAAATTTCACAAACTATTTCTCATTTTAGGTATGTTATGCTAAGGGACGAAATATTCTACACAAAATTTCACTATAGGTCGCTGAATAACAGCAATCTGTAACTTCGATATAAAACCATAAAATATCAGATCCAATATAGGAAAAAAATACAACGAACCATTATCAACTGATATTTTGAGGTTACTTTCAAATTGTCACAATTTCTCCAGCAACGACTCATTTTAGCGAGCTGATGCTAATGGAAGAAATATTCTTCATTAAATTCTACTATGGGTCTCCACCATAAATCTCCATAAATCACCATAAATCTTTATCTGTACTATATATCCATAAAATATGAGATGCAATATAGAATCACTTTAAAATGGGAGAAAATCGTATAATTTTTTAGGTTAATTTCGAATAGTACCGATTTTTCAAGGAAAGACTTATTTTAGCCCGTTGATGCTAATGAAAGAAATATTCTGCATAAAATTTCACTATAGGTCACCGAATAGCACAAATCGGTATCTGTGATATATAACCATAAAATATGAGATCCAATATAGGATCATTTTAAAAAGGGAGAAAATCATATATTTTTTTAAGTTCATTTCGAATAGTCCCGATCTCTCAAGTAAAGACTTACTGTAGCCCATTGATGTTAATGCAAGAAATATTCTGCATAAAATTTCACTATAGGTCACCGAATAACACAAATCTGTACCTCTGGTATATAACCACAAAATATAACACCTAATATAATTAATAAAATATATTTATCATTTTTGAGGTTAATTTCGAATTGCCCCAATTTCTCACCGAATATCTCATTCTAGCGAACTGATGCTAATGAAAGAAATATTCTCCATAAAATTCTACTAAAGGCCTCCAAACACTATATACCTCTATCAGTATTATATATCCCCAAAATATGCAATGAAATTTGAAAACTTTTAAAATCAAGGGAAAACAACAATTTTTAAGGTTAATTTCGATTTGTACTGATTCCTCAACTACAACCTCATTTTAGCTCTTTGATGCTAATGAAAGAAATATTCCTCATAAAATTTCACTATAGGTTAATTAAGGTTAATTCCAAATTGTCCCGATTTCTCGAGCAATACCGCATTCTAGCCTGCTGATGCTAATGGAAAAATTATTCTTCACAAAATATCACTATAGGTCCGCATATACCATAAAATTCCATCTATATTATATATCCACAAAATCTGCGATCCAAACATTTAAAAACCAGAAAAAATAATCATTTTTAGGTTATTTTCAAATTATCCCCTTTTCTGTAACAAAACTTAGTTCTTGCGAGCTGATGTTAATGAAAGAAAAGTTCTTCACAAAATTCTACTATAGGTCTCCGAATACTATAAATCTCTATCTGTATTAAATATCCGCCAAAATATGCAAAGCAATATGAAGACTTTTAAAAAGAGGAAAAAATTATTTTTTTTAAGGTTAATTCGGATTGGTATCGATTTCCCAAACAATACCTCATTCTACCCTGCTGATGCTAATGGAAGAATTATTCTACATAAAATTTCACTATAGGTCTCCGAATACCATAAATCTCTATCTATATTATTTATCAACAAAATATGCGATCCAATCCAAGGATTGGTTAAAAAATATGAACAAATGATAAAATGTTGAAGATTAATTTCTAATCGTCCCTTTTTCTCCATCAAAACGACATTCTAGAGAGCTGATGCTAATGCAAGAAATGTTCTGCATAAAATTTTACTACTTGTCTCGGAATACAACTAAATTCTATCAGTGCTATTTATTTCCCAAAATATGCAATCTAAAATTAAAACATTTAAAAACAGGAAAAAACTACCCATTTTATGGTTAATTTCGAATTCTCTCGATTTCCCAAACAATACCTCATTCTAGCCTGATGACCCTAATAGAAGAATTATTCCTTACAAAATTTCGCTATAGGTCTGCAAATACCATAAATCTCTATCTGTATTATTTATCCACAAAATATGCGGTTGAAATATATGAAAAAATGATAAAATTTTTAAGCTTAATTTCGAATCGTCCGTTTTTCTCTATCAAAACCTCATTCTAGCGATCTGATGCTAATGAAAAAAACGTTCTGCATAAAATTTCACTATTGGTCTCCGAATGCAACAAACCTCTATCTGTATTATAAATCCATAAAAAATGAAACTCAATATAGGATTATTTAAAAATAGAAAAAAATCGTTTGATTTTTGAGGTTAAGTTCAAATTCTCCCAATTTCACCGGCAATATCCCATCTTAGCTCGTCGATGCTAATGAATGGAAGAATCTACATAAAATTTCAGTATGAGTCACCAAATAACTCAATTCTGTACCAATAATATTAAGCCATAAAATATATGTTCGAATATAAAAAATAAATTATATTAGAGATTTTTTTTAAATTTTCCCCAATTTTGTATGTAACACCCTAATTTTTTTAGGAAATCTGTTTCAGTTTTAAAGGGGAAATTTTCTGAATAGTTTTCCCTAAAATCTAAACTAATTTTCCCTCTAGAAATATTCCTTGAAATCAATTTTCTTATTTTTTTCATTTCTGTCCGAACAGTTTCCCTTAACCATAATCAATTATTTTTATTTTTAATCCTAATTACAAATCTACACATTGTAATATATTATAAGTATGTGTGTATGTATATATGGTTAACATTATTTGAATTGAGACAAGCCACCAATCAGTTGTCGTTGTTGTTATTTTTTTTAATGTAATCTCTTTGGCATTGTTTTCGTTTTCAATTTGATTGTTGAGGTCTCGCAATGTTTTGTGACTAGTTTGAATTTTTTTTTCTGTTTTTGTTTTGAATTAAGTAAGCTAGGCATGCGGTCGGTTGCCCTGGTGCCTGTACAAGGAGATATCTATAGAAATATCTCGGTAACTCTGATGTGCGGAGAGGTGCTGCTGCCTGCTGCTTGCTTGTTTGTTTGGTGACCTACTTAGCCATTAAAGCTGAACCATATGTCAGTCAGCCAGCCAGTTTGTTGTAAGATAGACAGCGAGAACTGTAGCGAGTGAGAGAGAGAGGGACAAAACCACAAAACATAAATTAAAGACCCGATTCAATGTAAAACTACTTTACTTGCATGGCTGTTTGTCTGCCGACGTCGAACATTGTCATCTAGTTTTTTGCTTTTTGTTTTGTATATAAAAATAAAATCCATTTAAACTTGAGCTGGGCTGCTCAAATGCGCTCATTAAAGTCGTTGCTGCTGCTTGTGGAGAACTTCTCGCGTAATACTTTAGTGCGGTTATCGCGTTGAAGTCACGCTTTGATTGCTGTGACGCAACATCCAACAACAACAGCAGCAGCAACATCGAAACAAGCTACCATCCATTCATCCTCTAGCACCAGACAGTCAATTAACTCTCGTCGTCTGTTGTCGACTTGAAAATCGTTTTAAGATTCAATTTTCATTTCGAACGCAAATAACTATTTTTAGCTTTGTAAAATTCTCTGGTATGGGTTGAGTTTTAAGAGAAATTATTACAAAAATAAGAGTAAGGGAAATAGGGGAAAGTCTCTTTATTTTCGAATTGTTATGATCAATTCATTTTCATTAATTTAAATTACATTAATTTTAAAGCATAATTTTAGGCTCTAATGGTATTTGAGAAGAATTAGAAAATTCTCAATTTTCTCTTATAATATTACATTTTAGCCGGTTGATACTAATGGAAGAAATAATCTACAGAAAATTTCACTATGGGTCAACGAATAACAAATTACTGTACCTGTAATACTTACCCATAAAATATGGGATCCAAAATAGAATCAAATAAAACTCGGAAAAAATTGTCGATTTTTGAGGTTAATTTTGAATTGTGCCATTTTCTCCCATAGTAGCTTTTTTTAACCGTTTGATGCTAATGAAAGAAATATTCTACAGAAATTTTGACTATGGGTCACCGAATAACAGAAAACTGTACCAATAATATTTACCCATAAAATTTGGGATTATATATAGGGTAAAATAAAACCAAGAAAAATTGGTTAATTTTTGAGGTTAATTTCGATTTGTTCCAAATTCTCGCATAAAACCCAATTTTATCCCATTGATTACAATGGAAGAAATATTCTACAGAAAATTTCACTATGGGTCACCGAATAATAGAAAACTGTACATATGATATTAACCTATAAAATCTGCTATTTTAAATAATGTCAAATAAAACCAAGAAAAATTGGTTGATTTTTGAGGTTAATTTCGAATTGTGCCATTTTCTCCCATAATAGCTCACTTTAGCTGGTTAATGCTAATGGAAGAAATATTCTACATAACATTTCACTATAGGTCATTGAATAACAGAAAACTCTTCCTATAATATTTACCCCTAAAATATGGGATCCGAAAAATAATCAAATAAAACCATGTCGTTTTTTAAGGTTAATTTCAATTTGTGTCATTTTCTCCCATAATAGCTCATTTTAGCCAGCTGATAGTAATGGAAGAAAAAATCTACAGAAAATTTTACTATAGGTCACTGAATAACAGAAAACTGTAGCTTTAATATTTACCCGAAAAAATTGGGGTCAAAAATTTGATCAAATAGTAACAAAAAATCTGTTGATTTTTGAGATTAATTTCAATTTATCCCAATTTCTCACATAATATCACATTTTACCCCGTTGATGTTAATGAAAAAAATATTCTACAGAAAATTTCATTATGGGTCACCGAATAACAGAAAACTGTAGATATAATATTTACCCGAAAAAATTGGGGCCTCAAATTTTATCAAATAAAAAACAAGAAAAAGTACATTGATTTTTGAGGTTAATTTCAATTTGTACCAATTTCTCACATATTATCACATTTTACCCCTTTGATGCTAATGAAGAAAATATTCTTCGTAAAAATTCACTATAGATGTCCTCACAAATAAAATCTCTCCCTATGATATATACCCATAAAAAAGTATAATCCAATATTAATAAAATGTTTTACTTTCTTCTTTTCTCCCTTTCAGGTTGATGATCAAATGAAACTACTACAACATTCATGGTCCGATATGTTAGTATTGGATCATTTACATCAACGCATACACAATGGCCTGCCCGATGAGACACAACTGAACAATGGCCAAGTCTTTAATCTATTAAGTCTTGGCCTGCTCGGTGTGCCACAGTTAAGTGATTATTTCAATGAGCTGCAAAATAAATTGCAAGATTTGAAATTTGATATGGGCGATTATGTGTGTATGAAATTTTTGATATTATTAAATCCAGGTAAGTATTCTAACGAAAACTCGCATAAAATATAAATTTGGAATTGCTAAAATTAATATATTTCCTATTTTCTTTCAGATGTCCGGGGTATTATCAATAAGAAGACAGTGTTGCAGGGTCATGAAAATGTGCAAGCGGCATTGTTAGATTATACGCTAACGTGTTATCCATCTGTGACGGTAAGTTAAGTTTAAAAGAGAGTGGAATCCTCAAAAAAAAATGGGTTATAATGAAAAAAATAAACCGAGAAAAGATTTCTTGTTTTGAGGTTAAATTCGAATTGGAAAAACTTCTCCCACAATGCCACTATTAAGGCAGCTGATGTTAATGAAATTAATATTCTACACGAAATTTTACTATAGGTCTCCTAATAAAAGAAATCGGTATCTATGATATATACCCATAAAATGTAGGTCAGAATTCAGGTACCATAAATTCTCTTTGAATTTTTGAGGTTAATTTTGAATTTGGCCAATAAATCCCATAAGGCCTCCGTTTTTCAGGTTCATGTTAATGAAAGAAATATTCTACACAAAATTCCATTATAGGTCGTCGAATATAAGAAATCTGTATCGATGATATAACCCCATAAAATGTAGGTCACAATATAGGAACATATATATTTTTGTAATTTTTGGGGTTAATTTCGAATTGCCTCTTTTTCTCCCACAATGCCTCTATTTAACGGGTTAGTGTTAATGAAAGAAATCTTCTACACAAAATGTTATTGTAGGTCGCCGAATAAAAGAAATCTGTATCTCTGATTAATATCTGTAAAATGTGCCATAAAATATTGATCAATATATAAAAATGTAAAGCAATAAATTATTTTAACATTTTTAAGGTTAATTTCGAAATGAGTTAATTTCTCCAACAACGCCTTATCTGAGCGGGTTAATGATAATAAATGAAATATTCTACATAATATTACAGTATAGGCCCCTGAATAAATGAAGTCTGTATCTCTGATATTTATCAATAAAATATAGGTCTCAATGCAGGAACAATAAATTTTCTCTTGGATTTTGATGTTAAATTCGAATTTTTCTCCATTTCTTATAGAATTCTTTATTTTAGCTGGTTGATATTAATGAAAGAAATGTTCTACACAAAATTTCACTATGTGGCCCAAATAAAAGAAATCGGTATTTGATCTTTAACCATAACATGTAGCTCACAAGAAATGAACAATTAAGTATATTTTAGATTATTGAGGTTAATTGGGAAATGAGCAGATTTCTTCAATATAACTTCATCTTAGCGGATCGATGTTAATGAAAGAAATAGTCTAGACAAAATTTTAATGTAGGTCCTCAAATAAAAGAAATCGGTACCTCAAAACAAGAAATCTCTGGTCCAGAACACCATCTCTAAGCGAAAATGTAGCATACAATACAGGAATAATAAATTGTCGTTGAATGTTTGAGGTTAATTTTAATTAATTATTTCAAAAATTTTGAGGTTATTTTCGATTTTTGCAACTCTTTCCTACAACGCCTAATCCTAGCTTATTGATGTTAATGAAGGATACATTCTACACAAAATTCTACTATGTGTCGCCGAACAAAAGAAATCGGCATCGATGATACATAACCGTATATAACATGTTTCAATATAGAAAAAATATATTTCAATACATGTTCTTTGCATTTTTTAGGTTAATTCCAATCTTGGCCAATTTCCTGCACAATTTCTCATTTTATCGTGTTAATGTTAATGAAAGAAATATTCTACACAAAATTTCACTATAGGTTTCAGAACAAATGAAATCGGTATCGAAGATAGTTACCTAAAAAAATTAAGACCCAAATAGGAACATATAAAAAATAATTTTTTTACATTTTTTGAGGTTAATTTCGATTTGAGCCAATTTAGTCCAGAACACCTTCTCTGAGCGGGTTGATGTTGATGAAAGAAATATTCTACAGAAAATTTCAGTATGGGTCGCCGAGTAAAGAAAATCTGTATCAATGATATTTATACCTAAAATTGAAGACCCCAAAATATGAAACACATAAAATGACAATTTTTTGAATTTTTTGAGGTTATTTTCAAATTAACCCAATTTCTACCACAACAACACATCTTAGCGGCTTGATATTAATGAAAGAAATATTCTACACAAAATTTCACTATAGGTCCCAAAATAAATTAAATCCGCATCTAAGATATTTACCCAAAAAATTAAGACACATATAGGAACATATAAAAAAATAAATGTTTTTTCACATTTTTTGAGGTTAATTTCGATTTTAGTCCATTTCTTCCAGAACTCCTTCTCTGAGTGGGTTGATATTAATGAAAGAAAGATTCTACACAAAATTTCACTATAGGACTCAGAATAAAAGAAATCTGTAGCGAAGATAGTTACCCAAAAAAATTAAGACCCAAAAATGAACATTTACAATTTTAAAAATTTTGGAGGTTAATTTCGATTTGAGCCAATTTCTTTCAGAACACCATCTCTAAGCGGGTTGATGTTGATGAAAGAAATATTCGTCAGAAAATTTCAGTATGGTTCGCCGAATAAAAGGTATCTGTAGCAATGGTATTTGTGCCTAAAATTGAAGATCCAAAATAGGTACATATAAAATACCATTTTTTTCAATTTTTTGAGGTTATTTTCAAATTACCCAAATTTTTACCACAACAAATCATCTTAGCGGCTTAATGTTAATGCAAGAAATATTCTACGCAAAATTTCACTATAGGTCCCAGAATAAATTAAATCTGTATCTGTAATATGTGTCTATAAAATTGAAGACCCAAAATGGGTAGACATAAAATTATTATTCTTTTATAATTTTTGAGGTTATTTTCAAACTACCCCAATTTCTACCAAAACCACTCATCTTAGCCGCTTGATATTAATGAAAGAAATATCCTACACAAAATTTCACTATAGGTCCCAGAATAAATGAAATCTCTATCTGTGATATATACCCTGATTTGTAACCCCTTTTTTAAATATTTATTTTTCCATTATTTTTTATTTTTTAATTCACCTATTTTGTTTCCTTTTTTTCTTTTGCAGGATAAATTCAGGAGGCTGTTAAGTATATTGCCTGACATTCATGCCATGGCAACACGCGGTGAAGAGCACTTATATTCAAAACATTGTGCCGGTAGTGCACCCACACAAACGTTACTCATGGAAATGTTGCATGCAAAACGGAAAGTGTAAAAGCAACTATCAACAAACAACCAACCACATCATAAAACACACACATATACATACATAAACGTAAACGTTTAAGGGGCGGGTATAAAATAGGAAAACACAAACAACAACAATACCACTTAAAAATCATTTTGGAAACAAACAAAAAAAAAGAGCAAGTAACCAACCAGCAACAACAAAACCCCATAACAGGATATTGTCAAAAAAAGGAAAATTACAAAAAAAAAAAAAAAATAAACAAAAAGCAAAGCTTACAAACAGAATATTATAAATTATTATCAAAAACAAAAAAAAAAAAGAAATATATTTTTGTGACAAAAAAATTGTAAAACAAGAAAAACACACACTTTTTCCAAAATCCACTGAAAACAAAAAAAGATGTTAACGATACTTCATCTCTAAAAACTTTGCATACTTTTAGGCGTCTCAAGTTCAACTTTTCTATTTCATTTTCATGTTAAAAACAATAAACATTTTCAATGGTTTTTAAGCGGTTTATTTTCACATTTATTTTTCAAACTATATACATATTTTTTCATTTATTTTCGTATGTAATAATAATTTAAGTTTAATATATATTCCTGTACTTTTTTTCTGTTAATTTCTAGGGGAATTTAATGTTTACTATTATTTTTTTTTATAAGTCCTAAGTAACACTAACCTATATATTAATTAAATTGTATAAGTATCAAACTTTGTTGTTTAATTTTAGTATGATTATTATTAAGATTACAAAAAAAAACAAAAAAACAATATTTTGTGAAACTTCATCTTATTTTTTTTAAAAACAAAAAAAAGTAATTGTTATTAAATGTAAATAGTTTTTTTCTTTTCTTTTTTCACTAAATGTAAGTAAAACGAATGCATATTCTATTTTTCTTCATATCTTTGTTTGTTTTTACAAAAACAAAAAAAAAAACTTATTTAAAAAAATTAACAAAAAAATTATATAATGTAAAACATCACTAATTATAAATAAAATAAAAAAAACAAAAATAAAATTTAAAAACCAACCAACAATAGTTACCTTAAAAATGATACACGAAACAGATCGTTATATATGTATTTAGATTAAAAAGTAAAGTAAAGTAAAAAAAATCATTTAAAAAAACTTGTTGCTTGATGTTTAAAACAAATCTGTTCTATACAATACATATACAATATTATTATAATTATTATTATAAATGTTAAACAAAATTTAAAATAAAAGCAAAGCGATATATATCTACATATATATAAAAAAACAATTATTTAAGTTTAAAAAAATAATAAAAAAACGGATACCACTAAAAAACAAAACAACAACAAACAGAAAATGTTACACCCCCAATTTCAGAAAACAGAAAACACATAATGCACCTAAAAAGATTCAAGGCATAATAAATAAAAATTTTTTTCATTTTATAAAAACATAAATTAAAATATAAAAATTACTTTTTCATAAAACAAATTGTTACAAAAAAATTCTATATATAATTTAATTTTTTTGAAATCAGTTTAATTGGAAAAAATTTCTTTATTGAAATTTTAATATATAAACATGATTATTAATTTTGAGGTTATTTTTTAAAATATGCCAAAAATTCCCACAATTCTTAATTCTAGAGACTTGATGTCATTGTAAAAAATGTTCTATAGAAAATTTCACTATTGGCCACCAAACAAAGGATAACTGTAAATATGACAGATGTCAATGAAATGTCCCTTACAATATGGCAACTTTACTATGATTATTAATTTTTGGGTTATTTTTGAATTGGGTCACATTTCTCCCATAAAACTTAATCTTAGAGACTTGGTGACAATGTAAAATATGTTCTATAGAAAATTTCACTATGGGTTACCGAACAAATGATAACTGTATTACTGATAGATACAATAATATTGGCCGTTTCAAAATGCCTCCATAATTTTGGTGATGAATTTTTTTATTTTTCAAATGTGGCCTATTTTCCTTAAACCTTTGTTCTAGGCACTTGATGTCAATGGAAAAAATGTTCTATAGAAAATTTCACTATGGGTCACTGAACAATGGATAACTGTAATTATTATATTTATCATTGAAAATAACCTTCTTAAAATGCTTAATCCAAATATGATGTGGTTTTTAAGGTTATTTTTGAATTGGTCCTATATTTCCCATACACCTCTATTTTAACGACTTCGTGTCAAGGGAAAAAATTTTCTCCAGAAAATTTCGATGAGGGTCACTGAACAAAGGATAACTATATAATTGATTTATATCAAAAAAATATACGATTCCAAAATGATTAATGCAAGTATAATGGTTATTATGTTTGATTTGAGCCAAATTTTCACAGAAAAATTCATTTTAGCGACTTGTTGTCAATGAAAAAAATGTTCAGTAGAAAATTTCACTATGGGTCACTGAGCAAATAATAACTGTATAATTGATATATACAATAATAATGACCAATTCAAAATGACTCCATAAATTTGCTGATGATTTTTTAGGTTATTTTTAAAATGAGGCCAATTTCCCCATACACTAATATTTTAGAGAATTGGTGTCAATGGAAAATATGTTCTCTAGAAAATTTCACTACGGATTACCGAACAATAGAAGTCAGTAGAAAAGATATATATCAATAAAAATAGCCGTTTCAAAATGGTCACATATATATGTGAATATTATTTTGAGGTTATTTTTGAATTGGGCCTATATTTCCCATATGACTTGAATTTAGCGACTTGGTGTCAATGGAAAAAAATGTTCTATAGAAAATTTCACTATGGGTTACCGAACAAATGATAACTGTATAATTGATTTACATCAATAAAAATAACCCTTTTAAAATGTTTAACGCAAATGTGATGGGGTTTTTGAGGTTATTTTTGATTTGAGCCAAATTTTCGCAGACAACATAATTTTAAGGACTTGGTGTCAATGAAAGAAATGTTCTTTAGAAGATTTCACTATGGGTCACTGAACAAGAGATAACTGTATAAGTAATATATACAATACTAATGATCGTTTTCAAATGCTCTCATAAATATGATGGTGATTTTTAAGATTATGTTTAAAATGTGGCCCATATTTTCAATACACCACTATTTTAGAGATTTCATGTCAAGGGAAAATATATTCTCTAGAAAATTTCACTATTGGTCACCGAACAAATGATAACTGTAATTATGATAATTATCAAAGAAAATAACAGTTTCAAAATGAGTAAAACAAATATGATGGTTATTTTGAGGTTATTTTTGTTTTGAGCCAAATTTTCACAGAAAACTTAATTTTAAGGACTTGGTGTCAATGGAAGAAATATTCTATAGAAAATTTCACTATGTGTCACCGAACATATGATAACTGTATAATTTATATATACATTACTTATGAACGTTTCAAAATGCTTCCATAAATATGATGATGATTTGTTTGAGGTTTTTTCAAAAGTGTCCCATTTTTCAATGCACCTTTATTTTACAGACTTGGTGTCAACGGCATAAATATTCTATAGGAAATTTCACTATGGGTCACCGAAAATGAATCAATGAAAAAAACCGTTTCAAAATGGGTAACTCAAATATGATGGTTATTTTGAGGTTATTTTTGAATTGGGTCAAATTTCCCCATATAACTTCATTTTACCGACTTGTTGTTAATTGAAAAAATGTTCTTTAGAAAATTTTACTGGGGTTCACTGAACAAAAGATAACTGTATATGTGATATATATCAATAAAAAGCTCCCTTAAAAAAGGTATTTATAAATATGATTATTTTTTTGAGGTTATTTTTGAAATGTGGCCCATTTTTCCCATATACCTTTACTTTGGAGGCTTGGTATTAATGGAAAAAATTTTCTTTATAGAATTTTATTATGGGTCACCGAACAAAAGATAACTGTAAATATGATATATATCAATGAAAATAATTGTTTCAAAAAAAGGTTGGCACAAATATAATGGTTAGTTTGAGGTTATATTGGATTTGAGCCCAATTCACAAAGAAAACTTCATTTTAGGGACTTGATGTAAATGGAAAAAATATTCTCTGCTAAATTTCACTATGGGTCATCGAACAACTCCAAGATGTAAATGTACATATATATGAATATATTTATTTATTTAAAAAGAAAAATCTGATTTTGTCAAAATAATTATTTTTAATGAGTTTAATATAGGATTGTGTTAATTTGACCTACTAAAATTCATTGGAGGGGACTAGTGTCAATGGGAAAAATGTTCTATATGAAAAGAAGTTCACCATGACATAGAAATCCGTACATATGATAGAAATTGCATTTCTTCAACTTAAAAAATAATCATCAACATAAAAATGCTGTTTTTAAAATTTTTCCCAACTTTTTTGGATTATTTTTGAATTTACTTAAATTTTCAGTTAATATTTCATGTTAGCAGAAAACTGGCAAAGAATGATATATTCTCCATCGAATTTCACTATGGGTCACCGAACAAAATAATGATCTAACTCCACTATTTCCCTTAAAAATCTCAACAAACAAATTAGAAGTTTTTTTTCGCAATGGGCTCAGGACAGACATTGGTAGAGTAAGACTCGGGTCGTTTCGGATCGTAGACCCCTCTGTCGTGGGGCTGCTACAACAACAACAAGAAGTTTTTTTCCAAATTTAATTTTAAAAAATTTAATTATTTTGAATAAAGTTTATAATTATTAAATTATGTTATCGTTATTAAAGCCCCTTGTTTTTGTTGTCTTGGAATTTTTAGTGCATTATGTGTTCATATTATTATTAATTATACATTTAACTTTAATAACTTTATTGTAAATTATTAAAAAAATCAACAAAAAAAATTTTAGGGATACCACAACCAAACCTAAACAAGGAAAAAAATATTTAAAAAAAAAAACAAAATGAAAATTTCAAAAAAATGTACCTTAAAGAAAAAAAATTAAACAAAAAAAACTATAAGTATATATTTTAAATATATATAAAAAACGAACCCAACAACATCAACCACATCTCTATACATAATTAATAAAAAATAATTAAAATACAATTAATTTGATTTC